ACTGCAACCTCCCTATCGACCCTGCCTTGAGTGTGACAGGGGGCGGTGCCCCAACCCCCCAATCAGCCCTACCCTGAGCGTGACTAGGGGTGGCATCGCAACCTACCAATCTGTTCTTTTCTGTGTATGACAGGGGGAGGCGCCCCGACTCCCCAATTGGCTGTGAGCCAGACCACGGGGTGCACCTGGGGATTGGGCCTGCCCTCTGTCACCTGGGAGCAGGCCTAAGCCAGCAGGTCGTTATCTCCCAAGGGGTCCCAGACTGTGAGAGGGCACAGGCCGGGCTGAGGGCCCCCCTCTCCCCCCCGAGTGCACAAATTTTTGTGCACCGGGCCTCTAGTTAAGGAATAGGTAGGAAAGCACACCATAGAATGAATAGAATAAGTCTGGTAGAAGCCTTCTTATGTTTGCACTTCTGGCTCAGAGTACCACGAAGAGAAAAAAGGAATAAACATGTTCTTATGAGTTATTTGTCTAAAAGCTTGAGCCTAGTGAAGACCATTACTCAATGTGCATACCTTGAGTAGGATTGCTATGTGCCTGTCATTTTTATTTTTCACTTAACCTCTTGGAAGAAAAGAAAGAGAAAATGGAGTTCTGTATATCTGTGTGGTATCTGGCACATCCTCTCTTTGAGTAGATAGTATCTTGGGCCCTCCTTTAGGACCATGGTTTTTAGGCTAGATAGGGCCACCTGAGAAGCATGGGATGAAGGACGTGAGGTATTTTTCTCTCAAGAAAGGAAACATGAAGTCATAAAAATATAATTTGGAAATGGAAAGGGGAAGATATTTAAAAAATGGATAAGGAACACAATTACCTATGCTGTTAAATTTAGAAAAATGCACTGGTACCCCTGGTGGCATAAACTTTATCATGGTCAAAAATTCATTTTTATCTTTGATTCAGATCCAGTAAAACACACAAACACACGACACAAACTTCTCCAAGACAGTGCCTGAAAAATATCCATTTAAAGAAATTGTTTGCTGAGGGCCTATTAAATAGTCCCCAAACTCACCATCTGGTTGTAAACAGAAATTGTAACTATAAATTTGAACTTTGATTTCTCTTTTTTCTTCTAGGAATTTTCCATTAAACGTTTTTTTTGGGTGCGGGTGTCTTAGTTTTCAGATCTTATCATGAAATGAAAACTCTACTTTCTGACTTTGAATTCAGAAGATCACCAACCACATCCCTATTCAGATATTTAGTTGAGAGGAGTTTTTCTTACCTTGAAAAAGTAGAAATATATCTAACAACTACCATTTGCCACTATCTGAAGGCCTAACTTCCAGAAAAGGTGTGTGGTTCTACTTGCCCCAAGGTAAACAAATGGAGAAACAAATTTTCCTCTGGGATGGGAGGTCAAATGCTTCCAAGTGATCAATTTCTTCTTAACAAATTAATTATTTTAGCACACTCTTAACAAATTAATCATAAAATATATCCGAAAGACTAAGTAGGTGAGACTAATCTTTTCAGGAAAAATAACGATGGGACTTTTTCCTTCTCAAATATTAAAGCACTCAAAATACAATTAACCAGTATTGTACAGGTGAAAGAGTAGATGGAATTGTGGAACAAAATAGCCCTCAAAGCAGACCCTTCTATACATTTGATTTAATATATGATAAATTTAGTATCTTAGATTGGTGGTAATTGAGATTATTATTTCATAAATTATTCTGACATAATGGGGTAGTTTTAGGGGTTAAAGGTGATTTAAAAATGTTATTAGCATAATATATGTAAAAAATCAACTAATAGAAGAAAATGGATAATTTTCAAATGTCAATATAAAAGACTTTTAAACTTAAAAACATTGAAAAAAGACAAAAATTTGATTAACAAAGATAACCATGTAAAAGCAACTAAAAGCAAACTGAAAATACAAGAAAAATTAAATATTAATTTTTAAAGAATGTTATTAATAAAGTAATAATCTGATACCTAAATTAGCAAACAACTGAACAGACAGTAAATCCTATAGTAGCTAACTGATGAGGAAAGTTCAATCTTACCAGAAACCAAAGACACAATATTTTTTCAACTGCAAAAGTAATATTTTCTTTATTTACATACTGAATCCCTTGCACGTGCACTTTTATACCCAGATGATCCAGGCACCAATTTATAATTTTGTGCCAATAACAAGTTTGAGCAAGAGACATCAAGAAGTGCTGAGAATTATTTTTCAGATCTAATAGAAAAGGAATTTTATTTTTCTCAGATCTAATAGAAAAGGACTTTTATTTTTCTAAGTCTGGCTTACCTTCCTAGCTCTTTTCTTCTTGGGGAAAGGCTTTGGGAGGGTTCCTTATCTTCAGCTCGCCTGCTTCTCTACCTGCTCCAGTATTGACCACACAAGATTATTTCTGTCCCAACAGTGAAATAAATGCTAGAGAATTAGATGGAGGAGAGGTGGGGTTTGAGGTGAAACTAATGAATTATTTCTTAGGTGAAATTTGAAGAGCCTGATGAAGGGAGCAATTCAATAATTCAGTAACAATTTATCTAATTGAGTAGCACTTTACTGTGTATAAGGTGGGATGCAAGGCTCTCTTGAGCACACAAAAATGAAAAAGACATGGTTCTTGCGTTATGGTAATTCTAGTTAACACATTGCAGACGGATCACGAGAATTCTCGTTCATGTTACACAGTGTTTTACGAAGTATCATACTTTAAAAAGATATTAGCTTGTAAGAACGTAATAACTTCAAGATGCAATGGGTATTTAATTTTAAAGCGTGCCTTTAACATTAATGTAAAACGTGTTTTTTTTTCTGTTCTCGTTCAATAGAAACTTATCTGGCCACTGGGTAAAGCTAGCAGTAAAACTACTAATCCGCCATGTGTTAAGATGGTAAAATTACCTGTCATCTTGAAAGTAATATGCCATTCAAAATTGTAGGTGGAGGTGGTGCTTGACTTGTGCAAATTCAAAATGTTAAACAAGTTGCTCTTTAGTGTGCATTGATACTGAGCCAATATGGAGACATTCAGTCATCCAAAGATGATTAACAATTTGCACCCTCTCAGTTTGGTACTGATAAATACATGCTTGTTATTTGGAGGTCAGGCTATATACCACATGGAAAACCACAGTTGGTAATGTACAGCCTTTCCACTATTGACCATGACAATTTAGCTCTGATGCTCAAATTGCTTACTTCACTCAGCAAAACAAAAGCCCTTCAATTAATGGGAGTCACACTTCTTAGAGATCCTAGGTATTAGGCATGGCTAAGTGATGTCTTATTAAGAATATATAGTACTGTACCTAAAAGTAGTTCTGAACCATATATTTTCCTCTATCTTATTAATTTTTCATGGATCGCCTTTTAAATATGACCTTTTAAAATTCACTCTTTAAAAAATTATTTTAAAGTAATTTAAAAATGACTTTTAAAGATTGGTACTAGCAGGTAGTACCAAGATTGGTACTAGCAGGTGGTCTGCTGATTACCTGCACCTTTTGTATGGTAAATTTAAATTTTTACATTATTTATTATCGCATGATAGGGCTCCATGTCACTGAAAAATTCACTCTGGACTGTTACTATCTACTTTGCACAGCAGAGTTTGTGCTGTTTTATCTGTACTTGATTATAGTGGCTCTTGAAATAGATTCTAGAGCCCAGGCAGTCTGATGGGGAATTACTAGCCAGTAGGGGGAGCGCTTGGTCTCTGGCTGCCCATTTCACTCCAGCCTATGCTGAAGCAACTGTGCTTTTTTGTGTTGCAGTATTTGTGTTGTGGGTGGGCAAAATTGTATTTGATGAGTGCTCTGTTGCTAAAACAGAGTTTGGAAATCACATGTATTTTAATTTGTTATTTTGTAAAAAAAGAAATACATTTGGGAACGCCAGTGATTAGCATTTGGAATGGAAACAAAGACTAGCTTCATTCAGATCGATTCTTACTGAATCCATGCCAATTTTATTGACTTGAGAAGTAAACATCCAAAAGCATATAAGAAGTGGTAGAAATATTTCGATGATTGTATCTAAAAGTGAGAGTTTATTTAGTGATATTATGCAATTGTTTTAGTTTTTTCAGGAAAGGAACTACCTTACAAAATGAAAATCTATTGGTTATCACATATTCAAATAAAAATTCCTGAGGATACTTTTGTGAATAAGAGTAGTACACTGTCAAATAGTATAGAAATTTAAAGAGAGAAATTAATATTGATGTGATTCGTGACATAAAAGGACATTTAACAATTCATGTGAACACACAGTGACACAGGCGTCATTTCATCCTTCATCCATTCTAAAATGGATTTCTTTACCACTTTGTCTTCTCTGACAATCAGTTATATAAGCTATAAATTTTATTCTTTCTCTAGTATTTTCAGAGAAATAAATAATCACAAGGAACATGCCATGATATCCTCTGAAAACAAAGTTGTTTTGTTACTTTATTATATTAATGGCTAGGATTTAGGACTGACATGTTATTTCAAATTGCCTATAATATTGAGGAACAATATTACAAACACCCAGATTGCTTACCTTGCCGTGTTTCTGAGTTCAGTAGTCGCAGCAGTTGTTTAGTGGTGTTGAAGTGCTGTTTCATTTGGTTTCAACTGGATGTTTCTGATGGAATGTGATGACTTGCAGGCTTTGCTCGTCTCTGCTGGGTCCCTCTGCCTGTCTGGTTTATGGACTATTTTTACATGACTTAGTTCCCAGAATTCTTCTATTTCTTATATTAATATAAAAGTAGTATATATCAAGTAATTATAATTTGAAAGACTAATAACATGGTAAAACTTATTTAGTTTTATGTTCTTTAATGGACTTTTTATTCTTGAAAAGGACTATATAACTGAACTAATTCAATTCAGTAGAGTCGATGGCTCTTTGATTGCAGTGCTCAGATTTTGGGATTTCATCTTGTCAACTAGTCTAGGTATTATGTTTCCTTTAATTCTGTTGCATTTGTACCTCCATCTGTTGCTGACTGCTTTGTTTAGGTTCCTAAGAGGTATAAATTCAAATATAGTTCCAGCCAAATATGAATTTTTTGGTGTGCTATTAATTCCTCTGATGTTTATCACTATCTTTCTTGTTATCTTGGTGAATGTCTTAACCAGGGGTCCTCAAACTACGGCCCGCGGACCACATGCAAATACAAATATTGTATTTGTTCCCATTTTGTTTTTTTACTTCAAAATAAGATATGTGCAGTGTGCATAGGGATTTGTTCATAGTTTTTTTAAAAACCATAATCTGGCCCTGCAATGGTCTGAGGGACAGTGAACTGGCCCCCTGTTTAAAAAGTTTGAGGACCCCTGGTCTTAGCAATATAAAAACCTTAAAGATCAACTTGACTCTTTTAGCTTAAAGTTTAGATCAGAGTCTTCCATCTTCTGGATTCCCCATTTATTTCTCCTGAAGCAGGAGAATCACTCAGCCCAGTGTAATTTTGTGGAGAGACTGCAGGCTTTTGAAAAAGTCCTGATTTTGTGTACCCAAAGTGCCACTTCCTAACCAAGTATCCTTGGGAAAGTCACTCTCTCTAAATATTTTCGTTGGTGTAATGTGAGTATGAGTACATAATTTATGGGTTGTTAAAAGGATTGAATGAGAATGTTTTATTTTTTTTAATTAAATCTTTATTGTTCAGATTATTACATTTGTTCCTCTTTATTCCCCTCATAACTCCCCTCCTCCTAGTTCCCGCCCCACCCTCCACCCTCACTCCCCACCCACTGTCCTCATCCATAGGTGCACAATTTTTGTCCAGTCT